CTACATATTCTGATATTAATAAAGATAAACGATCTCTATTCAGTTTGCACAAAATTTATTTGTTGTTTAAATGCTTTTTTTTTCCAACCACAGGAAAGAGTGGAGAAAGATTTTTAAATTGCATATCGAAATTTCCTTCGAATTCAAATTTTGTGACAGTATCCAATTCATATTTGAATTAACTTTTAATACTTCTTACTACTATTTCGATACTGCTCATTTCTTCGTTTCTGTCAATTATGATTGATTAATTGATAAATGCTGGTAATTAGAGAACAAATGGACGGGTGTAATAAATTAGCTATAGTTTCGATTGCAAAAATATATTATATACAATACTTTCCTAAAAAGGAACTCTCGCTTTATGGTCTAAGGGCCGAGTGATTCTTCCCTTGCAAGCGAGTGTCCCATATAACTTTTGTTTTTTTAGCTCGCAAAGATTAATAAATAAAATCATTCTGCGAATTAATTTGTCAGTGAAAAATACCAACAGCGATATACTTACTGAATTTATAGTTGTTTCTGATCCTAAATACGATCCAGAGCCATCATGTTTTTGATATGTCCTTTAGTTAATTAAAATAAGCGGCGTTCTTGAAAAAAAGTTTATAAAGTCTTCAATTTCGGTTTTGCTTAAATTGGCCGTGCCAAATCTTTGAACAAAAGTCTTGTTCATGAAACTGTCATTATTTGAGCAATATGTCATATGTAAATACAGTAGTCATAATAGAGTCAACTATGTATTATCATTAGCATTCGTAGTAACATTAAATTCGTAGATTTCACTATAATTCTTTAATTCCTTTACCCACGATCACAGATTATCGATTCTAACGCTAAATAATGTACATAGTCTTAACGTTACAGTAAGATTATTGATCCTAAAAACAGGGACAATACTAATTTAGAATTAATGTAAATCTTATCATTTACGTCGTCGCCCTTAAAAATCTTAAGAATTAATGTAAAATCTTCCCATTCGCACAGACTTTGTGAAAACCATATTTCTCTTACACTCGATTGTAACCGGAAACCATAGATATCTGCTAGAAAATCATAGTTAATTATTATGTAGAATGTTCCAGAAAATCAAAAAGTCCATTCCAGATACTTCTGGTAGGAGCGTACATGTATAATTACAGCCCCCATAACTTTCCAAAAATCATGTACATGTATAATGTTGAGGAACATTACAATTGCTGATCATTTTAGACAAGTAAACATATACATGTATCAAGAATTAGATGCTCGTCAAGTATCTACACCACGAATACAATGAATCATCAGAGGACAAAATATCTCGATTTGTAGCGATCGGATTTAATCAAAATTATTATCATTCGATTCATCTAATAGAGATGAATCAAATGTTAGCATTTTTGCTTGAATTGCACTACCGGATGTCAAGTATTGGATCACTAGACATCGAGATATGACATTATAAATTGAGGCATGGAAGTTTTTGATGAACGTTCAATGCCTGAATATAGAAGCACGCCAGCTTATAAAAAACGTAGATGTCAGTTTTTGGTTGTTCTTTGTGCTCAGAAATTTTCTTGAAATTTTCACCGAAATAAAATGGGGTTAGATATTTTATGATTCATGTATATGAAGAGACATTTTTTTTAACATAGAAGTTTATTGATGATTTCTGACATATATAGATTACATAAATCTATAAAAGTCAGCATTTGTTATGTTTCTTTGTGTACGGAAAATTCTACGCATGATTTTTCACAAAGTTATGTACCTATGTAATTGACTGTACGAATCAAGAACAGAATTTGTACAATTGGCCTGGTCACAAGCTATGATTCTACTTCTAAATGTAACATTCTCTATTAATGCATGCTTGAGCCTATGCATGTATTTGGTCCCCGAGTGGATAAGAGGAGTCACATATATTATATAATATAATTTTATTAATAAGTGTCCTCCCCCAAATGTTAAAATATGTGATTATAATATATTAATATAACATAAGTCGTTCCCCTAATTGATTGTAAGGGTTAAACAAACTGGTTATTTACATTAAACATTAAGCTATATAGGAGAAAACGAATGTTTCAATGAAGTTTTAACGTTCAAATTGTTTGATAACGGGCTTTTTAATTTTTCGGTATTTTCGGTTTTATTTGCTTACAGCGGAGGGATTGAAGACTGCAATTTAGGTGAACTTTAGTAAAATAAAATTTGTTAAGATCCCAAATACAGTTTTCAGGACTAAAAAACCGTCTCTATATTACAAAAATTCTCCATGATCATGAAGAAACATTACACCAATAATAGAATCAAATTCTAATCAAAATGTGTATATTAATTTGATTGAAGCATGTCTAAAAGAGTTGAGACATTCAAATGATGGATTGCGTACGAGATATTAAATTCATATATACTAAGTGAATTATAAATCAAAATTTCCGAATAGTTTTATACACATGACCTAATGTGAGTTAATGACAAACGGGTAGTTTCGAGAAAACGAAATACTGTATAAAAATTTTGAATTTAAATTTTGTGCATTTAATCGTATATGAATGAAACACGACTCTCTTTGAATATCAACTAAACTTTATGTATACATCTACGCAAGATATCTTAACGAAGTTGACTAATAAATGGTGACTTTTTTGCTCTTAGCTATATTTTTAAATTAATCTGGGTTATAAAAAGACGAGTATCGGTGTGCTGTGTACCGTTTTCCTCCGCGAATAAGCACTACTCAACCGACATGGTTTTGACAAAAAAAATTGAGATTTTGCTTATCTCTTAACAGTCTCCATACAGATTGAAATTATTATCATTTAAGAGTTAAGACAGTTTTGGTAACGTCATATAGTTCAAATTTAGGGACGCTTATTCACGTTTCTACCAGTTTTTGATTGAAATAGGGATAATGTTTATTCCTGAGTGGCGCTTATTTCCGAAAGATGACGGTATAATGTATAATTTAATAATCATAGATTATAAAGCTGCATCTAACGATCGATTGAGTATCTATGAGCAGGATATTTTATTTTAATAACTTTAATTAACCAATTAATTAATAAAGAATCAATAAAAATGATAAGTTTTGAAAATGCAAGAACAAATTAAATGATCACTCGGAACCTTCACGAACAAACCTTCATCATTTACACAAATACTAAAAGCTCTGTATGATTTTTAACCGTCACAAAAAAACTTTATGTATCAATTTTTTTGCTACAAATACATTTATACTTTATCGTATTATCGATACTTCCGAAAATAAACTGCCCTTAAGCTTGAAAAATGGGGGAGGGTTATAGCATATGTTGCCAAGAAATTTAATATTTTCGTCGATTTCAATAATCATTGGTGGCAAAATATACGTACATGACAAATACTTGCTCAGAAAAAAGCACTGGTCGAACAAGGTGGGTTCACCTTTTGTCAAAATGTAGGATCAAACTTAATTTGATAGTTTTCGCCCTAGAATATCTCTATGATTTTACCAAAAAAATGAAAATTAGGCTAAATACTCGAAAAAAAAGTATGCGTTAAGATAAATCTCCGGTAAAAATTAGATTAAACTTAAATAAGTTTAACCTGATTTTTCCCGCTGATCAAATAATCTAGGTTTCTCCCCTAATCGAAACATGGTGTCAAAACTTCATTATATTTTTTTTACCTCGATATTACTAAACAAATAAATCAAAAGAAAATATATGAATCAAAACTAAGAGAAATTGTGGGTAAAAATATAGAACACAACTGATGAGAAAAACTCGGAGAAAAAACCTATATTGGATTTTTCTCATATATTACCTTGCATACATTCATCCCTCCTTTTATGGCATGATTTATTTTTTACCCGGAGAATACGTTCTCCGTCACATCCAAATGCCACAATTCAAGTAAGAGAAAGTTGATATTGCTTATTTGCAAAAATAAAATTTGAATTAAATTGCGAATTTTCGATTTATAGGTACTACAACTATATGCCTTTCCGCTCGATGTAATACATATTTTCCTTTAAGAAATCGGCAGAAAATACGATGGACTGGAACTATACACTCTTCAGTCCGTGTCTGGAATGTATTGGCCCAGAGTTCCACACAAAACATTCCACCATGTGCCCTTCCACCATTATCTACTCTGCGAGTAGACGTTTCGTGATTATAAATATGAAAATGATCGTGATCATTACATAAATCAAACCAATCTACGAATGTTAAGCAATGTTCTGTAGAACTTGAATTTGTTTGGTCAGAATTCGTTTCCTTTGGTAAAGACACACGGTGCTTAAAATAATACATCACTTGCGCAGGCCGGATCTAACAATCTCACCAGCTCTTCGTATTTCATCGATACAAGAAATAATGACATAAGAACTCAGGTCGGAACGTGAAACTCGTGAGCCAAAAGATCTCGTCTCCCAATTGAATGGTAACAAAACGGTCCACCATATTACTCACACGGATTGCATTTTGATCTGGTTTAGGATCACATGCTGCGTAGAAGGTAAATCCATAAACCTTTGTATAGCATCTTGCTAGATGACACGGAATGTCATGACTTCACTCGTTCGCATTTTGCTTTGATTGCGGCATCTCCTTTTAAACTTGAGCTAAATTCAAAAGATGTTTTTAGCAAGCTTGGAGAAAGAGTTGCCGCGTCTTCAGTTCCAGTCGTTTAACTGAGATGATGCACGTGTGTATATGTAAAAAATGGTTCGCAAGAATATAAATTTTCGATTTTTTGACGATAACCTACTATACAATTTCACGTTTTCCATCATCAAACTTATCAGCGTAAACTACGATCGGGTGGTATTTAACAAGGTGATAATAAACATCATTTCTCAATTATTTAAAAGTGAAAGTTAACAAAGTACAAGTTTAAATTAGATAGATTTTTGGTCTCATATGGTATATATACATAAAATTTTATTAAATATACATTTAATTGAATAAGAGACTAAATAATAAAAGGCGCATATACATATATATCAAATAAGTGGACGTCTCTTATAAATATTAATCATCCGGTGATGCGATCAATTTTTGCTTGGCAGCGTAAATGCAGAACTAAAAAAAAAACAACGAACATTCGTTATGATAATGAGTCTTGAATGCACTAAAAGTTTCTCATTAACCAAACATATTTTGTTACCTCATCAAAGAGAATATACCCTCCAAGGTTTGTATCAATTGCATCGAATGCTTCCTTGAGCTCCTTTTTTGTACGCGCATGGATCCCCATGAGCTGATGTCCCTTCTTGAATTCATCAAAACTGATGCGTCTGTCATGGTTTACATCAAGTTGACTAAATAACTTGTACAACTCGTCATAGTAAAAAAGAAGGTCTATAAGGCGGCCGAATTCTTTAAAATCGATGAAACCATCCTGATAAGAGATGTTGATAGTTAACATAGTGTGAATGTAAAAGTCTAATGAAACTATTTTGAAGACAAACATTTGAAGTGTCAGCAGCTTTATAAGCTCGCATGATGGCAGGTTTATCTTTTGCGAGTTCCGGATAAAGCTCAATGCAAGCTTTATCGATTTCGGCGAGAGACAAGATACCGTTGCCGTTATAATCGAAAATTTCAAAAACCTATCGCGATGGGAAAGGCAATGTCTGAATATTAAGAGGTATCATTTACCTTAGATTATTTAATGGTGTCGTTTTGTTAATTACCTTCCTTGCTTCGGATTTTTCTACTTTTCTTTTAGGCATTATTAGCGAGAATAAGCTATTTGTTATGATTATGATAGGATGTTGAATTGAAACAAGATGATTATTTATATGCTATAGATGTTTTGCTACTTTAATCTGCTGTGACATATAGGAATCCTTTATTTCGAGATTCCTATTGTTATGCACAAAACAAAGAAAACTCTAATGCATGTACTCGAAAAAACCTGAAAATTCAAGTTTGCTAGCCAACTACATGTATTTGTTACACTTATATTTTGTTACACCGTAAATTACAACCCCATTCTATGGTTAAATTTTTAATTATATAAATATGATTAGTTGGCGGAAAACAGAAAATAAAGGACCCGGATCTGATTATAGGTCCGGTGCAGTTAAAGGACCCGGATTTGCATTAAGGCTCGGTACAGTTAACTTTCGATATACATATAGTGAATACTAATGACAAAAGAAATGCAAATGACACGTGATGATGATTTCAGGGCCATTGAAATAGAAGATTAATATTTAAATATGATGTATTAGGGTTAGTATTAGATTTCGAGTGTCTCCTGACGGTGCTTTCAAAGCTAGATTTGATACTTGATTTCCATATTTTTCTCTTTTTGTCTTCTGTTTCAAGGCTGATCAAAAAATTGCTACATTCCCTATTGGTTGCGCAAATTTTTTGCGTATTCTTATTGGTCAGTCATTTTTCTTAGTGTTCTTACCCAGGTCTGTATTAGGGGGCTCGGTAAGAAACATAAAGGACTCGGATCTTATGTACGCAATCAGGGAAGATAATCATGCTTTTTTCGACTTGTATAAGAGATGCCAATGTGAAAGATCAAATGAAACCCGGATTTTTTTTGAATAATAAATATAATATTCTGGACCTTCATTGGTCGAACAAGGTGGGTAAATCTCGAGGGTTACACTGCGATACCAAAAACTTTACAGTTTCACATCTTGTTTCACCCATATTTAGACTAGATAAACACGGATTACAACTAAATGAAATCTATGTCAAAACTATGGTCAAAATTCTAAATCATATCAATATTTTTTGGCTTAACCACGGATAAGATCATAAGCAATATTAGTAAATCTTCGGATAAAACTGCAGGTGATATTGGTTAATCATCAGGATCAATTATATGATCAAACCGAATATAATTATTTAATAGTAATGTCAAATTACATGTTCCAGTATAACATATATAAAATAAAGGTAATGTGATAGGAAAAGAAGTCAAAAATGAACAATAAGGCTAAATAGATGAAATTAAAACTGGTTCATTCTGATTCTAAATGAGAGATTCTCTTGAATACAATATTAAAAAAAACAGCACAAAGATTGAAAAAAGTAAAGTTTATCTTTGTTCATTCCGTTTGCTTTCTTGTTCCTAAATAAAAGAAATCTTTCAATGTAACATTGTAACATTGATAAAACGCAAAAAAAATTTAAATAGTACTATCATCAATCAATAACTTACCTTCTTCAATTATATCACCATTTCTGAATAAAGAAATTTGGTTTCAATATAATTTTCAATATAATAATTATAGAATGTTATTAATGATCAAAAAAAAGATCTTCAAGCCCAATTTGGCAAATCATATAGCTTTTTAGAAAATAGCTTTGAAAGTGACTCATACTGCAAGTCAAATCTATTAATTGTATTTTGGATTAATCTTTTTGACTTAGTTTTGCTTTGATTATGATTTTCTTCAAGCAAGATTAAATTAATTTGAATTAATTTATTAGTATTTTATTCTTGAAATTATTAATAAAGTATTGATCTTATACAAATATATAATATTATAAATAGATAAATAAATAATATATAAATATATCAATTTATTCTTTAATATTTTTACCTTTGCTGAATATTATAAAACTGATATAGTAATAAGTCTTTTTGAACTATTATAATCTATCAATTCAGTATCTGTTAACTCTGATAATATACAATTTTTTTAATTTATTATACTTCATAAAATAAATAATTAAAAAATAATTCACAATTCTCTTTTAGTTATTCAAGATTTTTGAAGAAGTCTTTCTGATTTCTAGTAAATATAAAGTTATATTAAATAAAGTTTAAATATTTGCTTTAATACTTTCTTTTTCTAATCTTAATTTTTTACATATTTTTGCATTTTATTTTATTTATATACTTAAATTTTTAAGATATTCTTTAAATAAAAAATATATTATTAAGCAATATTAATAATAATATCTATTATATATAAATTCTCATTTTTTTAACTAAAGAATAATTATAATCTATTATTAATATTATTAATATAAATTAATTTAGAATAATAATAAAGTACTTATTAAGTATATTTTTATAAGTTTTCTATTTATTAATATATAATATAATATAATTTATTATAAATTTAGAATTAGAACTTTTTTATAATATATATGTAATATTATACAAGTATTTTTTTAAAATATATTTATTAGTTTTTAAAGCTTTATTTTTTTATTTTTTTTATTTTCTAATTATAAATTAATTTATTAATAAATATATTTATATAAGATAAAAGTATTATTTTGTTTTTACTTTTTAAATATAATAATATTAATTAATTTTGACTTGTTAGATCTTTTATATAATTAGACTTTTTTTAAATATATCTTTTTTTGATATAATTTTTGATTTTATATTTTTTAGATTCATTAATATAATATTTATCTTTTCAAAAATAATTATCTTAAATACTTTAAAATTAATTTCAAAAAAATTTCAAACTTACTATTTCTTACTTATTATTTTTAATTATATTTTTTATAAATAATATCTTCAAGAGTAATGATCTTTTATAAGATATCTTTATATTATTATTATTTTTTAAAAACTAGTTCTTTAATAGTTATAAAATATTAAATAATAGTAATTTTTAATATTATAAATAAAGAAAAAAAATTATTATTAAATTAAAATAAAAAAATATATATTTATTAATAAATTAAAATATCTATATTAAACTCTTAATTGAAAAGATTATAATATTAAAAATATATTATCAGTCTGTTATATAATTTAGATTTTTATAATAATATAACTTTTATAACTTTATTATTAATTACTATTCATTCTATTTTATAATTTTTATATTAATATATAACTTTACTATATATAACTTAAATATCTTATATTCTACTAATAATTATTCTTATTATTATATTATAATTTGAACTATAACTATAAATAAGTTATACAAATTCATATATATATATTACTATTAATTTAATTATTATACATCAAATTTTGATTTTATAGATATATACTCAAACTGATCAAGCTAGTAAAGTCTATTATATCTTTTATTATCTGTAATATCACTATAATAACCAGAAATAATATAAAATAAGCACTTTATATTTAACTTATAAGTTTATTATATTAAAAATTAAGAGAAAAAGCATAAAAAAGATAATTTGAAAATTAAATATGAATTGAAAGATATTAATATTATATTATCTTTTAATATACAAGATATAATAAAGAAAGTGATAAAGATATTTTTGATAATGAAGAAGAAAGTATTATAACCATTTTTAATAATAGAAAAGAAAGTAATAGTAAAGATATTTACAAATAATACTTATCAGACTATAATCTTGAGACTGATTATGAAACTAATACTAATAATCCAGAAGCAATCTTAGCAAAATTAGATTTATGTGATGATATTAGTCTCTACTAGATATATAAAACAGTATTTTTAATGAAAATCCTATTATGTAATAAAACATAAATCTTCTAAACAGGTTATACGAGTTTTTTCATATGCATCAATAATTAAATGGCTTTCATGCTCGCTTCAACGGTTTGATATTGAAGAAATAATAATGACATGCTATGAATGACCATTAAATACTCAAAACTTGAAATCTGATATCTACGATGAAAGAATATGACAAACTCTAGATGATGGTGAAGGCAATTAGTTTTTTTCTGGTGATACTTTGGATAGACGTTTAGGATTCTCACGGAATGTTGATTGGTTTCAACCGCATAAACACATACCAACCAGTGTTGAAGCAATCTATTTAACTCTGTTAAACTTTCCTTGCCACAATTGTTATTTGAAACATAATATAATACTTGTTAGAATGATTCCTGGACCATCTGAACCATCAGTAACAGAAATTCATCATTATTTAGAACCAATGGTACATGAATTGGGTTATTGTGAAAAAGAGTAACTATAAAAACCACCAAATATCCACAAGGTCATCTATTTCGGGGTGCTTTAATTATTATTGCATGTGATATATCTGCAGCAAGAAAGGTATTTATATTTTTTAAATTAAATTTGGTAAGATTTTTATTTAATTATTCTTATACTACAGGTATCTGGGTTTGCAGGTCATGCAGCAAAGAATGGTTGCTACCGATGTACCCGAAAGTTTGAGACCTTTCCAAATAATCATCCGATGAAGGGAGATTGTATTAATTTTTCTGGATTTGATCGAGTGTATCCCCGGCTTGATAATGAAATGCACAAACAACTTGCCTTTAGTTGGAGAGATGGAAGTAAAGCTGAACAGACTCGTATATTTGCAGAATATAGAATCCGATATTCACCATTGCTCAAGCTACCTTATATGGATCTTATACGCTTTACCGTTATAGATCCTATGCACAATTTGTATCTTGGAACGGCAAAAAGAATGACACATTATTGGACAGATGTACAGCAACATGATGCTGGTAACTCATTACTTTCTTAAATGGACCTCAAAGAAATTCAAGAAATAATTGATACAAATCCACCTTCTGATATCGGCCGTATTCCACGCAAGATTACTGCAGGCTTTTCATCATTCACAGCTGATCAATGGCGTAATTGGATATTGCTGTATTCAACATTTTGTTTACGTAATTATCTTCCTCATAATTATCGACGTTATTGGCAGATGTTTGTTTGTGCGAATGCTTTGTGGGGGTAACGAATCATAACTGACGAAGACATTCGAAAAGACCATGATTTTATGCTACAATTCTTGCATCTTACTGAATCTCTTTGTGGTCCAGAATTATTACACCAAATATGCACATGCACACACATCTACACGAATGCTTGGAAGACTATGGCCCAATTTACGGTTTTTGGTGTTTCAGATACGAGCGAATGAATGGCGAATTGTCAGCACTACATATTCATACCTGTAGGATTTCGGCGACCCCCCCGACGGGCCGCAGGCCCCCCCTCGGACGACACTGGTCGTCCGCCAGGCGCTGTACATGATACAGCGCCTTGTAGATCTCATGAAGTTGATCAATGAATAAATAAAGTATCAAAGATCACGTCAAGAATTTCACAAACAATGGCGGCCAAGCTAGGTCATTTACAATCACGAGCTAAGATATCGGTTGGGAGTTAGGTACAGTATCAATTTTGGTACAAGCTGCGCTTGATTTTCATGAAATGACTTGCAGTGTTTATAAAAAAAATAACTGGAAGCGAGAAATTTCCTGGAAAACATCATGCAAAATCTCATCTCACATCTTGATGACAAAACAGTACGGATTCTCATCTAAGACTTGAAAGTCACTATATTCCAGAGTGTTGCTGAAATGATTGTATCTATCACAAGGTTTTGGGTTGCGAGTCGAAGGTCGAAATGTCGTATGCTCTTTGATAAGTTTTAGAAAATAGAATTGTTCGTACACTGCTTATCGATCTTCATAACCTTCGTTATATAGCACAAGTAACCAATATAAGGCTTACTGTTGCTTAGTTCTTAGCAGATAGATCCATTAGGTCAGCTCAAAGTAAGCTTTGATAAGAAAAGGACTGCCAGAAAACTCAAGGTGATCAAAGCAAACAACAAAAATCTTTGTCGAGTTCAATATACAGTATTTCTCAATTTTTAAAAATTTTAATTTAAAAATTCATCAATTTAATTATTTTTATTTTATTGTATTTTGGTTAAAGTTGATTTTAAAATTCAGCTCTCATTTAAAAACTCATAGAATCTATTTACTGAAAATTTCAAGCTAATTAATATTCAATCTAAAAAGTACAGGTGGTTGGATACATTTTGCCACTATTGTATTATTGTTATAAAATGAAAAAATTTCAAAATTTTATTATTATTAAAGAAATTTCACTGAATTTGTGTTTATGCCAATATAAATGAATTAATAGATGGACGTTATATATTATTGGTTGTTAGCAAATAATCAAAGCACGCAAGAAATTTATCAAAAAAGAAAAAATGTCAAAGAGGAAGACGAAAGTTCGTAAGGTTAGTAATAAAGAAATGGCAAAGGAAGCTCATCGTTTATTGTAGAAATTACATGTACATGATAGTGCAGTGCATTTAATTTTCTTCGTAATCTTCGTAGAATAAAAGTTCTACAGTTTAGCAAACGCAGATAAGAATGTATATACAGGGCTTCTCATTTTTTGTGAGTATGGGCCTTGTACTAGTGTGCACAATGGATGTAACTTATTACATGTATCGTTGTATGATGATTTCCTGATTCAAAAACAAAATACATGTAATGCACAAAAATCAGACGAGCTTTGTTTTGATGTTCTCCATAAAAATATAGTTCTATTCTCAACATAAGTAATATACATGTATTTTATGCCAACTTTTACCAGAATGTTCTCAAATATTGTACTTTTTACTGTTCTCAAAAATGATTTTAAGGAACATCATGTCCAAAGGGATTAAAAATTGTACATGTAATGTTTTTCCTATTGTAGATGCAAATAAAAGTGGTTAGTTGTATTGATGTCACCAAATAAATCTTCTAACAATCGTTCCGTTATCGTTATAAAAATTCGAATTGATGTACTTGTATTGGTTTTCAAATGTAATAGTAGATTACTAGGGTTCGAAATTTGTGTTCTCAGCGTACTCATAAGAACATAAGTTCTCTAGCGACAACAACTAGTACTGCAAATTTTATAGTGAACGCTTGAAAAAAGAAATCTATATCTGAGAACATCAGATTTCAAACACTGTTTATTAATTAACTATTGTTTTGCCCAAGGGTAAAAAATATGAGACTATAAACAAATGGCTGAAGAAACTTCAATTATTTTTGCAGTTTATCTCTGATACTGTATCAGTGCAATGCAAATTTTTCAAAGAAATGCACATTATGTATTATCATGGGTTCTAATTAGAGATCATGTACGTGCATTAACCCTAGCAAAGTTGTATAGAACATATATTTATCGTGTTAAGAGTCTATATTTAGAACTTGTCTAATATGAATATAAATATGCTAGCAACCAAAGTGAAAAATCTCAATAACAAATTAATTGAAATACGAACCAATATTCGTTATTACGCTATGAAGTCATTCATAAAAATTGCATCGATCTTTACTATACTCCTCTTTGCAATTTACCATTGCCCCTGCCAGACGGAGGTGGTGGTGGTGGATAACGACTCGACTCGACAGTCGACTTAAATTTAAGTCGACTTTTTTTAGAGTCGGTCGATTTGAGTCAATCACATTTAATTTCTGTGTATGTTACGCATAATTATTAAAATTGTCTATCGCTATTATTTTTTGCAGATATACGTTTCACCGAATAGTTAATAAATGTGCAAGAATTTAATTAATTGAATTTCAGGTTTATCTGGAAATTCATTTGATCGACTTTTAGTCGGCTATGACTCATAGTTGGTAAAAGTCGAGCTTAGTGGAGTTGACGGTGACGATATTTCCTGGTCAGATATTTCTTGGCCAGATAGTTAATTACCAAGAAATTAATACATTCTAGCTTTTATAATTGTATTTGTAAAAACCGTCCAAATGCTCTCTAAATGAATAAAGTACTTTACTAAACAGCACATTTTTCTTTACTTGCATAATGCATATAAAAAAATTAAAATTGTATTAAAAAATTTTTTGAAATGCATATTCTATACTAATTACTCTGTGAAATAAAATGAGTATGTTGCATTTAGACAGTATCTACTGTAATATAATTAACGTTAAATCAACTTCGAGCATTCAAGCAGACTACAGAAAATTATTTTCATATACATGTATGTCCACAACATAAGTCAAAAATTAATGACAACATCGTTAAATCGAGGTTAGACAATAATATTATCTTATTAAAGCAATATTTAAGAAATGAAGTTTTTATAATTATTTATTTATAAAAATAATGTAATGTTACATAAATAAGCTCATAAATACAAAATCGAATCAATAATCACAAAACAATATATTTAAGAAAGCTAAACACGTTAAACGTCGAAATTCTTGTTATTTATGTCAGAAGAATTTGAGCACTACACAAGATCGTATTACCCATTGAAATTCTAAGCCATAGGTTATGAACATCTGTGGCGGTTTGAGCCGGATTACTTGCAAGAGGTAAATTAGGTTGAAGAGCAATATCCGGGACGTCCAATTGAATAGCAGAAGTACCGCCTGGTGGTGCGTTAACTGAGAAGGTCGGTGTCAAAGATTTAACTAGCGTTCCATCATTTTGTGTGGTAAAAATTCCAAATGTGTATGCGCTCGGATTTGGATTATTAAATCCTTCGTTGATTTGTCCGAATATACGAGTGAATTGAAATGCAAGTTGAGTAAAAGTGAATTCACCGAATAGACTACAAGTTGGACTAAGATTATAGCATGCACGCCCTACAAGTTGTGGCCATAGTGCACGTTTTTCGAGTGTTGGTGCCGGAACACCAGTTGAAGAAGAAAGGAATAAATTAAAGATCAAAACAATAATCAAGAAGAGATTTGTGTTTTTTGTCATTTTGAGGTTTCCGTTTCGTATTGAATTGTTATTATTATTATTATTATTATTATTATTATTATTATTATTATTATTATTCAGAGCGGGGTGAGGAAAGAAATTTGTCAAGACGAAGATTGTTTCTTTTATATTTGAATTTTATCATTGTGATTGTATTGTTATTTACTAAAACAGATTCTTTTTGTTATCTTACGCAAAAGGCTAAATTTCTGGTTTAAACCTCTTTTAATGGTTTTAATGGTACATGTATTTGTATTTGTATATTAAAGAAACTTCCGCATTAATGGTATTTTTATGCTTGTCCTATATGATAGAAATTCTGGTTTAAGCCTCTTTTACTGTCCCACTGAAAGTAAGTTTACTGTCTTAGAAATACCATACCGATACTGTGCAAATACATGTAAATTTTTTGTTTATCGTATTCTTTGTGATTTCTTAAAAAAAAGTTTGGAACCCAAGTTTTCTTTTTTTAGGAACTTGGACAAAAATCTAATTTTAACAAATAATAAACACTGTGTCACAAAGGTATACAAATGCATCAACTGGTCACATACATTAGGTTATCGATATATCATTTTACGTGAAGCGTTTTACTCTGTTTTATTATGTATAATAAATTTATTATTTTTCCTTGTTGAACTGCAAAAAGTTTATGGCTTGCATCAATACATTCGAGTTTGAATACATTATAATCGTCTAAATTGTGTCGAGAAAAATTTGATCTTCGTTATAGTTTTACAACGAGGATACTAAAATTAAATAATAATTAATACAGTCGTCGTGGACAAAGTAAACGACACTCTAAAAATAGACCAAATCGAAAAAGCTTTTATTCTATTTTAAAGTTCATAACCTAAAGTTATTATATGTACATAGTATTTCCATTATTAAAAATGGCTCTATGCTCCATACTTCTAACTAAAATTTCAGCAAGTTCATCCGGAAGATTCCTTCACTCTTTTGTCAGTTCTGCCTTCAAACTCTGAATCTTTAATTTTTTTATTCGAATCAATTTTTCATAATTCTACATGTATTTAAATTGGATTTTGATTGGAGGACATTGAAAGTTCTACAATGCCATTTTCAGCCTTCCATTTTTTCGGACTGGTGTTTCAGATCCTCAAAATCAATCTATATTATCGTTGCTAAAGGTTTAATTTTTTGATATATAGTGCACATAAATTAGCACCATCAACTTCGTTAATATCAACACTTCTCTATTAGCAACATTGGTTATAGAACGGATTTCCACCTATAAAAATTCCCTTGCTAATATCAACTTTTATATTATACCTCGTTGATATCACTATCAACATAAATCATATTTCCACTCTTAATCATATGCCTCCCGTTGATATCAACATCATGTGTTTACCGCCGATAAATCACATTATAAAATTCACATGTCCCTCTTCCGCATTATAAAATTCACATGTCATATGCTCTGTTATAAATTCACACTCCCCACCCATCTCCGCTACTCCCACCTAAAGATGGTGTCGCAACTTGGTCGCAATTCTCTGATTAACTATCACAATTGATCGCAATTCTCTGATTGGCTGTTGCAAGTTGCAATTAATTGAGATGACATCTTTACTCCCATCCCCAGCATACACTTCTCCCCATATATCAAATGGCTTCCAATATTATAAATTCATGGCAAATAACAGCTATGGCAACAATGATGATGGAAACATGATAATAGTAATAATGACAATAATGATGATGATGGCAATAATGATGACAACAATGATGATAGCAACAACTATGGCTGTAAAAATACTGACAATATGAACAAATCAGAATGGTCACAAAAGAAGCAAATGCACTTGATTATGAAATCCAAACAAGAAATATGCCAACAAAAACAAGCCAACAGATTTTTTACAAAATGTGATTCTAATAGATAGACTATTACAATTGCAAGCAAAGAAATTCACTATATTATTGAGGATGATTTCAAAGCAAGCAATAATTGGCTTGATAATTTTAAAAAAATCATGATATTTGATAATTCAGAATTCAAAGAGAGTTTAAGAGTGTTCTCATCAAGAATTTTTCTGAGCAAAGATAGTAATTAATCAAATTACTCTTATAATATAGACCAGAAAATATTTATAATACTGATGAAACTGGTCTTTTTTGAATTAGACACTTATAACAAAGCTGATTAAAGGAAAAAAAAGACAAGAAGCAAATAATTATTTTGCTTTATACAGATACACTGATATAAACAAATTTAAATTACTAATTATCAGAAAGTTACAAAGTTCTGATATTTCAAGAATATTTGAAAAGATGTTAAAGTTTATTTTTTATTATTAAATATCATATTTTATTATAATTATATGATACTAAAATAATTAACTTGTTTAAAGCTTATTATTAATAGTTATATATTTAAAATATTTTATAATTTATAGATATTAGAAATGAAATATTTCATCTAAATATCAAAAAATAATTAATTTTAGTATAAAAGTGTAAAAAAAATATAATTCTTCAGATAATTATTAATTGTTAGTATAAAACTGAAATAATATCAATAATTAAGTAAAGTTGACCAAATTTGGATATATAATATATTAAAGTAAATTCAAGATTAAAAGTTAATATCTAATAACTTATTTTAAGTATTTCTACTAATATTATGCAAGTAATAATAACTCATAACTATGTTTATTTTAATAATATTATTAAAATAAAAGAGATTATTACAGATGAAAAAGTCATTATTAAAGAGATTTTTTAACTATTTGATCTTGATAATAATAAAGATAGTGAGATTAAAATCAAGAAAATTTCTTATTTAGTTATCTTAAAGTAATATAAGTTATTATTATTATATATAAAATAACAAGATTCAGAAAAATTTATAAAGAAATAAGACTTGTTAAGATTATAAAGTTTGTTGTAATATATTTAAATGAATATATTCCAGATAAAATAATAAAAAAAAGTAATAGATTTTTTTATTAAGGGACAGTTATAAGTTTTTTAATAAGAAAAGAAGAGAATGAAATAAAGAAAAACTTGAGAGAAAAGCTTTTATCAAGCAAAATAAAGAGATAATTGAATCAAATATAAGGAATTATATATGTATGAACTTTCAAAAGTCTTATAATAATAATAAATAAATAAATCATAATAAATATCATATTTTATATGATCTAATAATACAGACTAATAATTATATATAATTTTTCAAACTAATAATATAAACTAATAATTACACATAATTTTTCGAATTCTAACTCTCATAGTTATTAACTCTCACATATATTAACCAAATGGTCCAGTTTGTAATATTGATAATAACGAGGGATAACTATAGTTGAATTTCAGATTATTAGATCACGTGATTATTCAATATTATGATTATGATTCTTAAATTTTTAGAAGATTATATAATCTTTATGTCAAATTAGAATATTCAGTTATTTTCACTATCTAACAATGCATAATATACCTCGGAATTTTTCCATTTTTTCGAATGACAGATTCATAATTATCGCAAAAGGGAAGAAACCATTTTATCAATAACTTTGAAACAAATTACAATAAAAAGCTTAATCTCATTTAGTCACTAAGCATTTGGCCATTAATTACCTAATTCTGCTACCTTATATTTTTCATTAAATAATACCTTGATATTCATCACAAATCCAGTAAGGACTTGTGATGAAACCTCGTAAGGATTTGCCAAATGACATGATTAGTACTGGCATAAAAGCTGTAGATTCTTACTTCGGTGGAGTTGCAAATCGATCAATTGACCATCCCTCCTAATAATATTAATTAATAGAGATCAGTGAACAAATAACCGTCATCATTTATCTACTTACTGTAACTTCGTTACTAATCTATCGCATCATTTTATTATGTACATACTGAGGAGAATCACTCTCTGATCTTAACTCCACAACGAAGTTCGTGACAACCGGCAGAAATGCTTGAAGTTGTTGAACATTTGTTAGAGCATTCCATCTACAATAATAAAGATTTGTTAAAAAATATGGCAAATTGTCTTTACATTTGATGACATCAGAAACCTGGAAATAAGAACGGCCGAAAAATCAGGGCTCAAATGATCTCATAAGGTAGCGCATAACATATAATAGACAAAAGACGTGATATTAGCAACATGGAAAAAAGTCAACATCTCGCTTGCGTAATGTGCCTGGGAACCATAATGTCTAATCACGTTGGGGTTAGCATCGCACCAGCCACCAGCTCTCACAATTATTCTTGCTTCTATTTGATCTAATCCTTTCATATACGGTTTTAGTACAGAAAGACAATTTTCAACTCGGTAAACGTCAGGTAGTGAGTGACTTAGCAAATGACATACCGATTTCGTTGTGAACAGGCATTATTTCAATTTGACCGTTAATAAAGTTCATTCGAAAATAACGAGGATTTGCATACGCAGTTTCCTCAAATTGTTCGAAATTACTTTTAGCAATGATAATACGTGGGAAGTGGGAACACATTTTGAAAGCGCAATACGTTATGAAGTATAAAAATGAAAATCAAGCAATTAATTTGACTGCTTCCGATGATTGCTATTCCAAAAAGTTAATATTCAGAAAAAATTTTGTAAACAGTAGCTTGAGGTAACTCACACATTCATTTTCGTGATTTAAAATATATTCATAATCACATGATTATCAATCGCAGGGAATATCGATTATACATGTAATTACCATCCGTTAATTCGGAAATCAGCTATATGAATGCAGAACAATATTTATTTTATTATTATCAACTTGACTTGATATTTATTCAGGATTATCTTCATAAATAATAGAATGATATCTCCAGTTCTGAATAATTCTTAAAATCAGAAGAATCAGAGACTTGAGTTTATTCGGTATACTCGCCTTAACTTCTAATAATTTTTCATGTCAGGGAAGTTGACTTGATAAAGCATTCATCTTTTATATTAGTCTGCTTATTATAATTTATGATAACAGTTCTGGTGGAAAGTAATGGCGGTTGGTTTTTATTAAAAAAAAAGTGAAAATTAATAATTAATCCCCCAAAAAATTATATTTTTATTATAAATATAATCAAAACATTATATATACAAAATATTAATATTTTGTGTGATTTCCTTCCATAGCAATGCATTCTTGAATGTGATTTTGCATGCTACAGATACTATTAAGTAGCATCACATTTGGAAGATTTTCCCATTTATCCTTCACTAATGTAATAAAGATCTCTTATAACACATTCTGCTTTACTATTACTATATCTTTATCATTTTTTTTCGCATTTTATTTAAGAAATGCCCAAATATTCTTTATAGAATTGAATCTAAACTATAAGATAGCCATAACAAAACATGATTTAAAAATTCATTATTAATATTCAAATATATGAGTTATATTTTTATATAAGTAATCATTAAGAATTTAATGATAAATATAATAGTTCATATTTTATATAAAGATATATATATATTTACTTTTTTATATACATAAATTGCACTTTACATATAAACTTTAAATAAGTATTTTATTATTGATACAGTTGATTTATCAGAATAAGATCATATATAATAGATATTTTAAAATAATTATAAAGCTATTTTATCAGAGAATATAATCTTATTTTAATTATAATTAATATAATTATGTGGAACTATTAAAGTCAAATTTCTTTTGCATATTAAATAAAAAATAAAATATATCTTGATAATATTAAAATATAATTAAATCTAAAAAGCTTATTATAAACAGTTCAGTTATTAATTTCAAAATCTGAATAAATTTCTTCAAGTCATATTTTTATTTTGATCAAAGTAATAAAGTAATTTAATTTCAAGATTTTCTAATTAGTAATATAAAATTAATAATTGCTTTTAATAAAAATCATTCAAATTTTAATCAATCTTTATAATTTTTTATATTAATAAAGAATGATCTAAATTAACTTTTTATATTATTTTAATTATTTATTATACTTTAATTTAATAATAAATAAAGCATTACTTTATTAAAAAAACTAAAATAAAATTATTTTTTTTAAAAAAAAAGATATTTTAAATATTATTACTATTAAATCATAAGATTAAAACTTTAATTATATAAGTAAATTATCTTAAATTTGATAAATTTATATTTTAATTTTGTAAAAATTAAATCAATAGTTATAAAAATATTAAGATTCAAAGTTTAATAATTAAATTATTTATTATATAATTTTTATATTAATTTTAATTTTATATAGTAAAATTTAAGAAATAATAATTTCAAAAAGTTTATATTAGTAAAATTTTTTTTATAAAAAATATATAATAAAAATTTTTATATTTAAATAAATTCCAATATCTAATAATTTAAGTAAATATTTTAATAATTAAGTAAAATAAAAAATATAATATATTACTATTAATTAATATTTTTATTAGAAATTTGATTTAATTTTGATAGAAATTTATATTATTGTAAATTATATTCATAAAAATAAATTTTATTAAAAATATAACTTATAATAAGTTTTGAAAGTGAAGATTGAATTATTTATAAAGATAAAGAAAATTATAATTATTCTAAAGATTTTTTAATATTAATACTTATAAGTATTTTATTAACATAAAAAGAAAATAAAAATAAATAATAAAGAGTATAATTACAAAAATATAATAAAAGAAAGATATTTATAATTAAAATAATAAAAACTATAAACTATAAATTCAGTATGCTAATTAAACTCTCTAATAATATCTTTTTAACTATTAAATAAATAAAAAATATATATCAAAATAAAATAAAGTTTTTATATATAAAAAAATATATAAGAATCTTATAAATCAAAATAAAATATACTTGACTTATTTTAAGTAAAGAATATTTACTATCTATATTTTTTAGGCAAGAAAAATATATAATTAATTAAATATAATCTATTATAATAAAAGAAATAAATAAAAGTAAATATTAAGATAAAAGAAATAAGATAATTATAAGATAAGTATAATTCAAATAATTTTTTTTATTATAAAAGAATTATTATTATTCAAGTATATTTATTTTATATTCAAGAACAGAGATATTTATATATATTTAAAATTATATAAATTTTATTTGAGCTTTACTTATAGTTTATTTACATTTATAATATATAATTACAAATATAAAATAAGATTCAAGTAATAAACTATAAACTAATAAATAAAATTAAAGAATAAGATATATATATTAATTAAACAAATAATAAAATTATAATCAAATAATAAATAATAAAATAAATAAATATTTCATTAGGAAAAGATAATAAAAATAAAATAGAATTTATTTCTAAATCATTTCTAAAGTATAATTAAATTATTAATAAATTATTTATGAATTATAATTAACTTTAAGCAAATTATATATTTATAATTCTGAATTATTTCTAAAATATTACTGAATTATAACTGAAATATAACTAAAATTATTATTGATACATTAATTAAATTATTCTAAATCATATACTTTCTAAAAGATAATTAATTAATCAAAAATCTAAAGTTTAAAAAATTATAAAATTATAGAAATTTATATTATTATAATAATATTTGATTTCTTTAAGTAAGATTAAGTTTTAGTAAGACTAATTAAATTTTTCTAATAATTTTTTTAATTTTTTTATTTTTGATATAAACTAGATTATTATAAGTAATTTATTAAAAATTATAGACTTTTCTAAGTTTATATTTTTTTAATAATTAATAAATTTATTTTTCAAAAAGAAAATATTTTCTGATTAAAGTAATTTTTTTACTAGACTAGATTTTTTTTATAAAACTTGAATTTTTTGAGAGTATTATTATCATAATGATATAAAATTTCTTAATTTCCTAATCTTTTTTTGGTTATATAAAATCTTATTTTTCTATAATTTTATATTTATCTTATAAATATTTCTATTTTTATATTATATATTTATTTTTATTACTATATTTATTATCATATTTTTATTTTTAAATACTATATCTTATTTTTATTTAAGATTTATATTTTTGAATTACTTGTAATATGATTCTTATATATATAGTAAAATAGTATATTAAAAATTATTTTTAATTTTGATAAAATAATTATATTTGGAGTGATAATTATAAATATCTTTCTACATCTTTCAATATTCTTTTATATCTTTTAATATCTTTCCATATCTTTTAATATCTTTTCACATTCTTTAATATTTTTTAACATCTTTAATATCTTTTAATATTCTTCAATATATACATTTTTAATATTTATATTTAAACTATAGTACTTTAATTATAATATGTATATTTAAATAGTATTAGCTAGTAATATTATAATAATTTATATATTTGAAAATGTATAAAAGAATCTATTATTCCAGTTTAAAATAAATAGTTTTGAATTGAATTATTTAAAAAATATAATTAAAAAGTTTATTATTATAATAATAATAATTTTTTTATAAAAATTTCTTTTCTAATTATACTAGTATCCTTTTTCTCACTTGATTTGATTTTTTTAATCATACAAAGTTAATTTTGATTTTGAATTATAATATTATATTAATTTTTAATTTTTAATATTATTTTAAGAGTAGAAGATTTCTACTATAATAAGTTATACTTTTTATTTTATTTGTTTTACTATTTTAAAAGTAGAAGATCTCTATTATAAATAAGTTATATTCTTTTTAATTAGTTATTTTATTATTTAGTTTAGTCTTTACCTTTTTTTTTAGTGATAATTTTCTTTAATTAATAGTACCTTTACTCTTTAATTATCTTAAGTCTTGAATTATATTAATTATTAGTGATTTTACTAACTGATTTTTATAATTTTCTTGATTTATTTATTTTTTTTATTATTTTATTATCTCTTTAAAAGATAATATCTATAAATATTGACACAGGTCTTAGAAATCTTTGTTATTATTAAAAGTATAATTTAATTTCTTTCTCTTTACTCTTTAATTATTTCAGTTTCTTCTAATTCTATATTATTAAAGTGAATTTAAATAAAAATTCACTTACTAATATGTCATATCATATTTTTGACATTCTCTCTGTGAAGAAAAATTCACAGAAATCTTTTTATTTTTGCTTTTATTTATCATCTTTATGAATAGAAAAACTCTCTTTATATATCTTATTATATTTATACTCTTTTTATATTTCTTTTTATATTTTTTTTTATATTTTTTTTTATTATTTGTAATTAATAAATATTTGAGTCTTGAGTTTTCATAACTAATTATTATTCTTTTATTAGATTATTTATTAATTATTACTTACAAGTATATTAAGACTCTAATTATTCTATTAGAATATTTTCTTAACACTTTTATCTCTATTATTATTTTCTTTAATCTGACTTTTCTTTATAATTTTAAATATTTTACTTACTTACAAAAAATAGTATAACTAGTAAATATCTTTATATTTGATTATATTAATATTCAAGAAGAATAACTTGATTTAATTAAATAATTGTACTAATAATTTATCTATCAA